CCATCTCTCCAGTCAGTCAGAAATGGAGAGGGGAGAGGGGGAATCCCTGCGGTGAGTGATGACTGACAATCACCGCTCTCTGCAGGGAGAGGATAGGAAGCCAGCGATCAACGGTGTATGTTCACTGACTTCCCGATCAATAAAGCTGACCTCTGACAACTTCTTTGTCACAGGTGGGCTGGAATTATGGGGATCAGTGTTTTTCACTCACCCCATAATTCTCCTTTTAAGATTTTGAAAATCAGCAAGCTTTTGACATTGGACTTTGGTGCCAGAAATATGTCACACAGCTGGTTTTCCCTTAGGTACCTCATATGTATTCACCTGGGTACTTTGTGGCAGTATTTAGAAGATAGTTGCCTTTGCCATGCCAATAAGTAATCTGCTGTTTGTGCATTGACTCACTGTGAAATCAAAGTGTATCCCAACATTATTGTCACCTGGTGCAAACTCCTTGGGGCCAAACCAGAAGAGCATACTTCTTTTATTTATGATGCCTTATCTAAGTTTTGTTTTGTTTTTTTACATACAGTACTAGTTTTATGTTTATAAATCCATCAGGTATCAGGAACCCTGATGGGTTCAGATGTGGCCCATACTTATTCATATATATGTTTTTACAATGGAAGTAAAGATAAGTACATTGTAAAAAAAAGTTTAACCTTTGGGTAAAATTAGAACAGTGTCCTAATGCTATGGGTCCATTCCATCTCAGGCTTGAAAATGTTTATTGTATATTAACAGCAGTGGATTTTAATATTTGTATACAAATAAGAGTAATTATGGAAAGCTATAGGAAAAAGCTACAAATAACTTTATTATAATTTGATAGTCATCATCCATATCATGTGAAGAAGGCTATTTGTTATGGGCAATTTCTTAGATTAAAACGGAACACAATAATTGAAGATTTTAAACAGCAAGCAAATGAAATGAAAAAAATAAATTGCTAAGTAGAGGCAATGATATAAATCCTGAGATGAAGCATATCTTCTTGTTTACAGGAAAGGAGAGAAATCAGAACAAATCTGATCTGTATTTACTTTTGATTGCTCTTCAATACAAGTACAGTTAACCAGCTGTGGACATTGAGCAATGCTATACAGGCCCAAATATCTTCATTGAGTACACCGGGCATGAGTAGCACATCTTGCCCTTAACTTCCATCAAAATTATACACTAAAAAAGGATTAGAAACAAGCTTTTATTGCTGAGTCCCGACTGGAGGCATTTACACTGAATCCTTATGTGGCCGCCTGGATAATGTCTGGAGTTCCCCTCTATCTTCTATGTATACTTTGACTTGGGTCATTAAAGAATTCTACTACAAGGTCTAATTACGAGAGGCTTCTGTGGAAATCTCACAGCTAAGGTCCCTTTCAAGTGGGCATTCCAATCAGGCCTGCTGAAAAACCTGTTTGGAAGCCCAATGTTGTGGTGGGCATACACTGTGAGTTTCGTCCAGTTCTGGACTAGCTCATTGAAGGAGCCAATCAGAAAATCTTCGTATTCTGACAGCAGCACCGCTGGGATTCCTCCATCAACGCGCTTGCAGCGTTGATGGAGGAATCTGCTCTATTTTTTTCATTCAGCCCACGGATTGAACAAAAAAAAAATAGAGCACTGTATGGCCAACTTTAGTCTATGGGCAGCTGGATCTAAATGGCTGTGCGTCGATTTACAACAGATTAACCCCAACTAAAGTTCTGTTTCGGCGGACCTGATCATGCCAGATCTGAACTACACAGACACATGTACTTTTACATCTGACTGCCCCATAGACCAACATGGGTCCGGTTATTTCAGGGTTTTCTTCTCCAATGCAAGATGGAGGAAAAAACAGATAAGGACATGGACACAGATGTCATAAAGGTGACATCGCTTCTGTTCAGCAGAAGCGATGTCACCTGCTGATTGGTACCCCTGCTGATTGGCCTTTGAAGATACTGGTCTGACAGTATTTCATGCAACACCTCTTACATAACACTCATTCTGAAAAATGTCAGCATCTGCAGTGCTCATATATAGTGCTCAGAGTGGCAAGCCGCACGGCACCCTGACTGGGTAACTCCGTCAGAAATCGGCTTCCTCTCCGGTGGAGCCCAAATTCTAGCATCCTCAGCCCAAACCTGCCTAACTATTGGACGGAATCAATATATTAGGACAGAAAACTAAACTCCCAAAATAATAAAGATTTACCCCAAACATCAGGCAACACCAATGTTGAAGTTAAAACAGGAACTGACTTTATTGAAAACCAGCTCAGTATAAAACGTAATACAATCAGACATTCAAACAATGCAAGCAGACCATCCCCTCCCCCGTGCCGTAATCAAAGAGTAGGGAGAGAGAAAACACATATGATGGGATTGTCTCCTGAGTGTCTATCATATGTTAAGTCACTCAGCTACATCTAGTGTCAAGTTAATCCTATTGTTAACTAAATCACACAAATAGACTTGACTAACAGACTAACAAGTTAAATGGGAGTCTAAAGCCCTTTGGTATTGCTGGATTCACATCCTGAACCTATAATGGGCACAGGGTGATTTTAACTTATTGCCAGGGGAAAGACGCGGCATATCCACTCCACACATAAATCTGGGTTAATAGTTCTAAGGGGTACACGTACATAGCAATCCTCAGGGTTCCAGGAACAGTCCCTCAAGTGTTCGTTCCATGTAATCCCAAGAGGTCTGAGGGGGGTCTCCAAAATCCTAGGTCCATAGTCAGTAGGAAGGAGGCATGCCCCCAGGCCCCTCCAATAGCCCCAGTGAGGGTTCAGTCCGTCACACTCAGTAGCTGCAGATCTAATGAGGGAATCTGTATGTAAAATTTCAATTCTCTCAATCCACGCAGTTAATCTATGGGTTTTTGTTTTTTTTAAAAACAAAGTTTGTTTCAAAGTAGAGCTAAACCCAAACACTAAAATCTCTTATAAACCTTTACATGCTAATGTAATTTCACAAGTTCAATCTTTAAAATGTTCAGCTTTTTATTGACATAATTACTGGTGACCCTGCCATGAAGGTCTTTGCTCAGGCTTCTCCTATTATGGGGTGACAAATCTCTACCCCTGTCTCCCAACTGCTCTCCTGTGTTGTCACACTGTCACATGCACTTTTGGGGGAGAGTATAAGCAGTTGTGCCAATGCTCATTGCACAAGCATGTTCCATTGTTAACATTAGAAAATCCACCCTGATCATTGCCATGCAGCTGCTCCTGGAGCAAGTGCATACATACAGGATGTGGCTTCAAAACGCTGAGGGTGATCAGCAACCCTGAGCTGCAAATAAACTGAAAAATACAAATGATATAACGTGCTTCAACGAACTAAATGTTATCCAGGTGGCATTTATATCTGCTTTAATTCTGTGGGCATTTCAGTGAGGAGCTACAGTTATAATGATGAGTTATTTTTGCAAAAGAAAAAGCTTTTTTGTCTTTTCTGAAAATATGGACTTTTGTGAAACGTAAGCTTCCTTTGTATACTTTATACTGGGTACATTTTATCTCAACTGATGTCTACATAGGTCATTTTGTAGGCCATACTAGCCCTGAAAGGGTTATCAGTACAAGGAAAAGCACAAGCGTTGACACGGTGGCTCTAAATCACAGCTTGTTTCATGGTCGCTCAGCCATCTGGGAGGCTCTGAATGGTGCATTTATGCTAATTCACACCAGTCACATCATCGTTTAAAGCAATTTACTTCTTCAATATAGAGAAGAAATGGTTACAAATGAGCAGTGACTTTGACACGAAAGAGATTTGAGTGTTCCTACAATGTATATTGTGTGCAGATCATTGTATTGTGTATGGATGTATGTAATAGCTATGAAGCAGATCCAGTTCTTACTGTGAAATCAATCATTCATTTTCAGGTTATGTTGGACTTGTGTCTGTCCTCAAATTATGCCAATACAGTTCTTTTATGTCCATTGTTAACTAAATCAATGCAGCTTCTACTCTGTATATTTCATTTCCTTTATAATTACCTACAGGGCAGATGTGTTTAATATACCACTTTGGCATAAATTCACATGGGAATTGAAATCGATAGATTTCTTGGAATATTCTATAGCTGGGCTTTTTTTTTTTTCTTCTGAGATAAAACCTTCTGTCTGTCATTATGGTTTGGAAAAGTAGACCTTACCATCCTAATAGTGGATCTCGTATATAAATACCTTTCCTTCCTAACATTAGAACTCGTATATAAATACCTTTCCTTCCTAACATTGGAACTCGTATATAAATACTTTCTACCCTAACACTGGAGCTCATATATGAATACTTTTCCATCCTAACACTGGAGCTCATATATAAATACTTTCTACCCTAACACTGGAGCTCATATATGAATACTTTCTACACTAACACTGGAGCTCAAATATAAATACTTTCTACCCTAACACTGGAGCTCATATTTAAATACTTGTCCATCCTAACACTGGAGCTCATATATAAATACTTTCTATCCTAACACTGGAGCTCATATATAAATACTTTCTACCCTAACTCTGGAGCTCGTATATAAATGCTAACATGGCACATACAGACTAACAATGTAGATTGTTTTGCCAACCTCTGATATACATATATCAGAGGTTGGCAAAGCATGTCCATGCATCAAGTTGCTTACAGGAATGTAGTTGTCATTGAATGTCAGGGAGCAGATGCTCGGAATGAACAGGAAGAATTACAGCCACTAAATTAGCTATTCCTGCAGCAGCTATAAGTTCGCTTTGGTGAGAAGGCGAACAGGCCGTTTAGTCCACCCATTCAGTGTGTCACCACAAACTGGAACCTCATCCCTTTTGGTCATTGGATCAGTTGCATATGGACATCACATTATGAGCTTCAACCACAGTGGTAAATGTGTATAATGAAAATGTATCTATGAAGATATGTATCTATCAAAAATACCCCAGACTTCTAAAACCACTGGAATGTCTATGGACTGTGGACCAAGGTGTCAATATCACTTTTTTCTTCTTGCAGAGACTGGACGTGGCTCACATCATCCATGTGCGAGGGTGTATACACGCTGTGGGACTTTGGCTAAATGACAACTTCTGGGTAACGTTTGCCCTAGCCATTGCTCTGCTGGCGCCTCAGGTAACCTAATATTTATACAGAATCTCTGTAGTCTTAGTGCATCAGTTTCACAACTGTATATAACAAGGCATTAATGCTATACTTCAATCCAAAGCAAAAATGAAGATTTTAAATGAATACAGGATCCTCATCCTGCCTGCCTTCTTTTTTATATATAATCATAGCTGCAAAAGTCCAGCTACTGCTTAAAGCATTCCTGCCCAAAACTTTAAAACTACCCCCTCCCCCTTCCATATAGTAGGCCATTATGTGCCAGACTGCACCTGTACGTAAACTGCACCACTGTTCACTGCTCAGCTGTGACCTTCCTTCTGGAGGGTGGTTACTTTTGTTCCCTATGGTCCCTGTGTGTGTTGTAAAGTAGCCACCGCTCCAAGATCACTCCTGTGATGGACTACAATCTCAATACAAATTAGTAAACTAGACATGAGATTGTAGTCCATCACAGGAGCGAGCTTTGAGCGGTGACTACTTTACAACACACACAAGGACTATGGGGAACAAAAGTAGCCACCCTCCAGAAAGAAGCACAGCATCAGTACCAATTCAGAGATGATTTGAGGATCTACAGCCGAGTGATACACAAATAAGATCCATTATTGTTAATAGTTAAGTTACTTGAATGCATTTTTAAGGTTTAACTCCTCATTTTGGTCTCACTTTAAATTCCATTTGTTGCAAGTATTCTTGTTTTCTCAGAATTTCTCAGCCATGTAAATCCATTGTACGCTAGAAAGGTGTTTACAGTCCAATGTATTCCAAGCTCTTTACTGTCCTTCAAAGTGGACTTTGCAGAGTGTTGTGTCCAGATGCTTCTGTCCCTCAAAGCAGTACCAGTGAGAAGCTTGATAGATTAATGTATCGATGGATTACTCATACTTCAGATTTATTTCTCGGGTAGCAATAGCTGTTTGACCATTTTAAACAAAGAAATAATTCCCACGTTTGCTGTTTCTTGTTCTGTGCAGGTTTGTGCATTGAATAAAACAAAGCTTGACCCAGGAGTTTCTAGCCTACATCAATGTAAAAAATTGTGTCTGAGATAGTTTAAAGGTTTGTTACATCTCAAATTGCTGTTGGCATACTAGAAGGCACATAGCTGCAACCGCTACGGCCCCCTGCAAATGGTCTAGAGGTCAGCAGTACAAAGAACACATTTGCGGAATATACCGCATAAAAAAAATATAAGTCTTTAAGGGAGACCATTCCAGTAATTCACTTTTTCTTCCTGTTTTTTTTATTTGCCACAGATTCTGGGTATTGTTTTGTCCTATATGTTTTGGATAAAACTCAAGGACATTTGTAATACATTTGATGAGGTGGATTTCAGATCCCTGAAATTAAAAGACTTTACCTTCAAGGAATTGGACCTGAGTGGAGCTGGCTGCTGTCTCTGCATACCAAGGGAGGAGGGCTACATTCCCGTCAATGCAGACAGCGATGATGAAAGACTAACTTAGCACTTGAAGCAGCGGACGATCTGTATCGGAAGCCCACAAGGGAAGCTGTAAGGCAACATCTACTCGACAATGGCATTTAACATACCATGGGCTACCACAGCATATTGCAATGCATTACGCTCTACATAAAGGCAAAGCTAATGTTAGGAAGAATACATCAGATTCCTAGTGCAATAAAGAAAATGGCAGCGTGGTGTTCTCATACATCCAACAACTGTTTACAATGTTTACATTTCTGTATTTAATCATTTTTTAGGATGTTCCTAGCTAGAAAACTCACAAAAAAGTTCAATTTGCTCCAATATAAAATGCCGTTCAAATACCAGATGGTATGGTTTGCCAGATCCATACATTCATACTAGCTTTCCTGGATTCCAGATACCTGTTACCAGGTGATGTCACCGCCCCTTGTTAATCAGAGAACGTCTAGTATTCATTGGGGAAAAAAATACTAGTTTGGTAAATGGCTGCTGTGCCGAGCGAGCATCCCCTGTGTTTTCAGAGCAGACGGGAAGCTGCATTACAGGGCTCAGAAGATCACTGTAAAGCACTGTTGTAGCTACTAAAGTGGTTTACAGGATCCCCATGGCCCTTCTACCAGGTATCTCATTTCTGTGATTGGCTATATATAGTAATCAGCCAGATTTATATTTCCTGAAATCAGCTCAGAGATGCTGCATCCTGTGCATTGCACTTCTGGTGAATATGGCGACATATACCTAATGCTTGGGGGTTTTCTGAGCAGAGCTGTGAAAGAGTTTGTGTCACGTGAGTTAGGATATAAGCAGAGCTTTTTATTTCCCACATGGACATGCTCATTTCCACGAGTAGTGTATGTATGTAATAGCACTGAAATACTGTGGTTTCTTTATCACTATTCAGCCTTGCAAAATACAAATCACTGATCCAATATTGTAGCAATAAATGGCATTTTGCACTAAGGTCCTTATATTGTGTGATCCCTGAAAACCTGCTGCCTTACGTAGCTGCCGCAGTATTTGTGTGGCACTCTGCTGGCCAGCCCATTGTTAATGCATGTGCCTTTAGTAAGTAAATGCCTACTCCTGTCATCAATCCTAACAGCTTTTTCTTAATCATTAAAGTGTACATGTCATAGATGCCACACACCACTAACAGTGGACCTTACACACAACTATATCTTACTTTCTTTTTCTGAACCGCACGAGGGGGTCCTGCAGTGTGCAGTAGCAGCGGTACCTAGCACTGACACATATTATGACATGATGCCAATATCATGTTTTCAAAATGAAGTAGCGATTTAAAGTCTATCAGGCCTCAGCAGTTTACAGGTGATTCACGCAGCAACATTCTCCTCGACAATCCGCTCATAGTTACTATACCTTGACCTTTTGCTTTCAGTGGTTTCTGAAACTGCTGTGTCAAACCCCTTAAAAGGGTGATTTTCTTTTTTAGGTTGGCTCTACCAACTCTCACCAGAGAGAAATCACAGCGCTTTTCTACTACTTGTTTAAAAAGGAAATCCCTTTTATAGTCACCACGTAAAATGTTACCGCGTAGAAATATATTGTAAGTCACCTCTTCCTTGGACTGTAAAATTCTTGGTAGATTTGTCTATGTTGTAGGTCCATGTTAAGGGGATTTATGAATAACAGCTGGAGGAAAGGAAAACGTTGCCCATAACAGTTATCTGCTGCGTTATCACTTCCCCAAGCAACCATTATGCTATCCGGTTCTAAGACTTATGTCCCTTTTGACAGATTGACTGTTTAGTAGTGATAGTTAACTAGCTTTAAATTCATTATTGAGTTTGTTTTTTGCAGGAATTTTAGGAATATGAACACAACCTCTATACTTTATGAGGCCTTCAATGTATTCTGGCCCCACACAATGAGCGTCTTGGCTACTGTGGGCTTTCCTCCTGATAAGTGCACATTGAAAATACCAATCAAAGCAGTTGGCCAGCATACCTATAAAATGGTGTTTCTGGTAGTGCAGGCTCAGCATTAGCTTACTAATTGTAGAGAACAAATGTCATTATTACTACACTGCCTGGCCCAAAAAAGTCACACACTCTTATATTTTATTGGACCACCTTTAGCTTTAGTTACGGCACGCATTCACCATGGCATTGTTTCAGTAATCATATGGAATGTCCCAACATCCAGAGTTGCATTCATTTTTCTCCAAGATCTAGTAGTGATGATGGGAGAGTCGAACCACTGTGTAAAGTCTTCTTCAGCACATCCCAAAGATTCTCAATGGGGTTAAGGTCTGCTCCCTGAACCACTCTTTCACAATCTGATGAATCCTGGTATTGTCATCTTGGAATATGCCCAATGTGCCATCAGGGAAGGAAAATCCATTGATGGAAAAACCTGGCCATTCAGTATATTTAGGTAGGCAGCTGACCTCATCTTTTGGGCACATACCGTTGCTGAACCTAGACCTGACCAACTGAAACAACCTCAGGTTATAACAAAACTAGGTGGTGAATTTTTTGTTGGCCAGGCAGTGTATTTGGAAGCAGTCACAGCAGATCACATTTCCTTCTCCATAATTGAGATTGTAGGCAGGCAACAGCAGCCACATTAAGGGCTCATTCAAACCATGTCTCTGGAGCTGCTTTAACCTGCACATATCAACACAAAACAATTGTTTTCTATGTGCCCTGTTCACAGCATGCCAGTACGTTGAGGTGAATTGCAGTGCATGCTGCATTTTTTCCAATGCAATGCACTGTAGTACATAGAGTGGAATGTATAAAATAGTTCTGTGACACTTCAATAGAGTAAAACAATTAAAAGAGAAAAAGTAATCAGAACAAGGAGTTTTAAGGAGGCATTGCCCTGCCCGTACACAATGCCCATTCGCACATGCTTTTTACCCTGCAGGCTGATGTAAATGATCCCTAAAAAAAAACCAAGCAATACCTCTCTCTGCTGCAGCCACAGCACTGTGACAGAGCTGCTGTCAGTCACATGGGAGGAGGGATCGAGCTGGCTGTGATCAGCTTCTTCCTAGGGTAGTGCCAGTGGGGTAAGAGTCTGTCCAGAATCTGCAGCCGAGCATACAGGACGTCAACATTTTAGAGAATTCAAAAGGCAGCTTACATCGTTGTCACCCACAGCGTTCAGTCTCACGGACGCAAGTATGGGCATACTATGTAAAATATTTGTATTTGATGGGACTGGTTGTGGTCAGCTTCTTCCTTGGAGGTGACAACACTGTGCCAGTGGGAGGTTGTGACACCATGCAGTGTTGCAGTCCAGAAGCTGCAGCAGAGTCTAAAGGGTGTCATTTTAGACAATTCAAAAGACAGGATAAAATATGCCTATATTTGTGATGCCCGGCAGTCCAAGCATGATGCATCTTTGTGTCTATAGAATCCTATGGAAACAAAGATGCATCATGCTGTGGCTCCTGGATGATGTATGTGGGTATAGACATGTAAAAGCCAGTAACAGCATTTGCGCACATAGTGTCATAGATACCCGATCGCAGAAGTTCCCCATTCGGGGATGCTGATGTAAACACTGGCTCCCGGATGTGGCGAATACTGGCACGTCTTACGTCTGTATTTGTGTCCGCGGGAATGAACCCTTAAAGGAAACGCACACTCACCAGTTTTACTGACAAGTATGTTTACCATCAAGCAATGGACAAAAAAGAAGGCGGTGTATTCCTTAAGTTTGGGATATGACCGGTATATACAATTTAAATAAAATGTTATACTGCTGACCCCCTTTATCTGATGTATTTATTGGGCTTATCTTTTTTTACTTGACTCACAAAATGTGTAAAATATTTAGCAAACTCACCAAACTGTTCCACTCTTCCGTCCTTTCCTTGTCAGGAAGCAGCTAGTTTGTTGCTGAGGACAACACAGTCGTTTTCCTTCCAGTGCGGTATGAAAAGTCCTTTCACCCGGTACGCTACATGTCTTCTACACGACACCTAGAATTGTGAAATGTTTTATTGTTTGCCCTTTGTAATCTTGTGTGTAGTGATGTGAAAAGTTCCTTGGCGGCGCGCAGCCGTTCATAGAGAAGTTGTTTTTTTTAAACTCACAAGAAAGTAGAGCGCTATGTTAGGGACACATCTCTAGAATTCAGGGAATTCAAATATTGGAAATACTTTTGGTAATCTGTGTGGAATATTGTATGTACATTTTATTTAACAAAATGGTGTTTTGTACATGTTTTTTTTTTACATGGATAAATAAAAAGACGAAACGCGTGTGACACATTGCTGGTTGTTTGTAACCTTTGAGGTAAGGTTGATGATATGATGTTTAACCACTTGCCATCTGGCCATTGTAATTAAATGGCCGAACGTCTGACTACTGACGTCCCAGTTACACTTCACAATAATCCCTGTATCTACCTTATGTTCTACATGACCCTGAATCTGCATCTTCGAGAATTCAATGACCTTCCCTTTCTCTAAAACCACCGCTTGAGGCACTGTAAAATCTACATTCTCACTCAGAAGTAGCTTTGGACTTCTGAACTCCGGGTACAATTTTTCTTAACTTTGCAGCCTGCTTGTTTTTGTCTATGTCCTCAAATAAAAAAAAAGTGTTACTCACTTGATCCTCGGAGCCACCTTGCATAGGACGTGAGGAAGCTAAGGGACATATCATCGCTGGAGAGGAGGAAGAAACAGGCTGGAGGAAGCGCTGTCACAGCCATCCGGCTCCAAAGACCAGGTGCGTATATTTTTGTTATTTTTGAACCTAGACAAAAACGAGCACTTAACCCTTGCAGTCAACTTAAGGGCCCATTCACACCAGATGCTGCGCTAATCGCAGTGTGTGGTGCCGAGGTACAGTTACGAAGTGCTGATCCCAGTGCATTGCACTGTGAATTTTTTTTTTTGTGAACTTCATCAAGTGACATTTTATTCAGTTCTACGAGCACAGCGGGGTGCAAGGTGATTTTAGTGTGTCGCATCCCACTACGTTGAAAAAAAAGTACAACATGCTGTACCCTTTGTCAGCACAAACCACCATGTTCCCATTGCAATGCAGTGATGTGAACCCGGGCCATCCATGACAAGGCAAATTGCTGTGTCTTGCGTTGCGGCTGCACTGGAAACAAAGGCCACTGCAGCTCCAACGCAGATTATGTGAATCGGCTCTTAGGCCTGGTCCCATTCGCGCACATTTGTGTTCCGTGTTCGCCACGCGCCCCTATAGTTCATAGTCGTGTGGCAAAAAAGCTCATGTAGTTTTTTTCGCGTCATGCATT